ACTCACTATCACTCATTCACTCTCACTCACTCACTCACTCCAACTCACTCCAACTCACTCTCACTCACTCCAACTCACTCACTATCACTCACTATCACTCACTCACTATCACTCACTCACTCCAACTCACTCACTATCACTCACTCCAACTCACAATCTCAATCACTATCACTCACTCACTATCACTCATTCACTCCAACTCACTCCAACTCACTATCACTCACTCACTATCACTCACTCACTATCACTCACTCACTCTCACTCACTATCACTCACTCACTCACTATCACTCACTCACTATCACTCACTCACTCCAACTCACTCCAACTCACTATCACTCACTCACTATCACTCACTCACTATCACTCACTCACTCTCACTCACTATCACTCACTCACTCACTATCACTCACTCACTATCACTCACTCACTCTCACTATCACTCACTCACTCACTATCACTCACTCACTATCACTCACTCACTCCAACTCACTCCAACTCACTATCACTCACTCACTATCACTCACTCACTATCACTCACTCACTCTCACTCACTATCACTCACTCACTCACTACACTCACTATCACTCACTCACTCTCACTATCACTCACTCACTCACTATCACTCACTCACTATCACTCACTCCAACTCACAATCTCAATCACTATCACTCACTCACTATCACTCATTCACTCTCACTCACTCACTCCAACTCACTCCAACTCACTATCACTCACTCACTATCACTCACTCACTATCACTCACTCACTCTCACTCACTATCACTCACTCACTCACTATCACTCACTCACTATCACTCACTCACTCCAACTCACTATCACTCACTCACTATCACTCACTCACTATCACTCACTCCAACTCACAATCTCAATCACTATCACTCACTCACTATCACTCATTCACTCTCACTCATTCACTCCAACTCACTCCAACTCACTATCACTCACTCACTATCACTCACTCACTATCACTCACTCACTCTCACTCACTATCACTCACTCACTCACTATCACTCACTCACTATCACTCATTCACTCCAACTCACTCCAACTCACTATCACTCACTCACTATCACTCACTCACTATCACTCACTCACTCACTATCACTCACTCACTCACTATCACTCACTCACTCTCACTCACTATCACTCACTCCAACTCACTATCACTCACTCACTATCACTCACTCCAACTCACAATCTCAATCACTATCACTCACTCACTATCACTCATTCACTCTCACTCATTCACTCCAACTCACTCCAACTCACTATCACTCACTCACTATCACTCACTCACTATCACTCACTCACTCTCACTCACTATCACTCACTCACTCACTATCACTCACTCACTATCACTCACTCCAACTCACTCCAACTCACTATCACTCACTCACTATCACTCACTCACTATCACTCACTCACTCTCACTCACTATCACTCACTCACTCACTATCACTCACTCACTCTCACTCACTATCACTCACTCCAACTCACTATCACTCACTCACTATCACTCACTCCAACTCACAATCTCAATCACTATCACTCACTCACTATCACTCATTCACTCTCACTCACTCACTCCAACTCACTCCAACTCACTATCACTCACTCACTATCACTCACTCACTATCACTCACTCACTCTCACTCACTATCACTCACTCACTCACTATCACTCACTCACTCTCACTCACTATCACTCACTCCAACTCACTATCACTCACTCACTATCACTCACTCCAACTCACAATCTCAATCACTATCACTCACTCACTATCACTCATTCACTCTCACTCACTCACTCCAACTCACTCCAACTCACTATCACTCACTCACTATCACTCACTCACTATCACTCACTCACTCTCACTCACTATCACTCACTCACTCACTATCACTCACTCCAACTCACTCCAACTCACTCCAACTCACTCCAACTCACTCCAACTCACTCCAACTCACTCCAACTCACTCCAACTCACTCTCACTCACTATCACTCACTCACTCTCACTCACTATCACTCACTCACTCACTATCACTCACTCACTCCAACTCACTCCAACTCACTCCAACTCACTCCAACTCACTCTCACTCACTATCACTCACTCACTATCACTCACTCACTCCAATGGTATCCACAGCAGAAGTAGTTTTTTTGCTGTTGGATCGCGTGGATTATGAACGCGTCGCTAAATCCGCCACCACCGCCAACCCTGATGCAGCCACTCGGTAAGGAGGTTCGTCAAAACCTGCACAATTTAGTCGCTAGCACAGCACTAACCGGTTGTCTGTGTGGAGAGTAAAAGCCACAACAACTTAATGGTTCTTTCGGTAACGTCACGTAGAAGGGAAGTAATAAAATAATAAAAATAAAACATAATAAAATTATTCTCACGACGTTTCGGCCACAACGCAAGCAGAGTCTGAAGACTCTGTCGCCTCGACGGACCTGTTCTTCACCTGAGGACGGCTGCTTGCGTTGTGGCCGAAACGTCGTGAGAATTATTTTATTATGTTTTATTTTTATTATTGTATTACTTCCCTTCTACGTGACTTTACCGAAAGAACCAAGAAGACGAATCCCTGCAGTCACGAAAGCTTTAAATCAAAATTTAGCCACAACAACGTTTAAAATTATAGTTACCGTCACGTTTATTGCCCGGGAGTTACGCTACAGCCAGGCTTGTGGAGAAATCCTCCTCCAATGCTGCTTCGGTCTTCAATTCTGCATGAGGGTCAGACGAAAGAGAGAGCGAGAGCGAGGGGGGTTTAGGGGTTAAGCCTTCGATGCCAGCGGTTAACTCCTAAGAGGTTAGAGTCGGTGGGTTAGCGCCAAGGTCAGGGCTAGGGCCAGCGTTTGGATGAGGGTTTAGGGCTCGCGTTAAGAGTCGGGGCATTCGCGTTGGGGCTAGCGTTAGAACGTAGCTGGATTCATGGAGTTGAGGGTAGGGTCAGGGACTCTTTCTAAGGTCAGGACTAGCGTCAGTCAGCGCTAGGGGTTAAGGAGTTGGGGCATTGGGGCTTGCGT